ACGATGGCTAGAAACTCTTTCTCCGTGGTGGTGTAGTTCCGTTGTGCTTCATTCAAGGTTTTTGACATAAAGTATATCACATGAAGCCTCTTTTCAACCCGCTGTCCAAGAACACCCCCAATTGTCGTGTCACTTGCATCACACATTAACTCGAACGGTAGGTCCCATCTTGGTCCTTGCACTATCGGAGCCGAGATGAAAGCTTTCTTAAGTGTGTTAAAAGCATGTAGGCACTCTTCATCAAATTTAAAATCGGCTTCCTTTTGCAATAGGGCATTTAAAGGCTTGGCTATTAGAGAGAAATCTTTTATAAACCGCCTGTAGAAACCCGCATGCCCTAAAAACTGTCTTACCCCTTTTGCATTGACCGGTGGTGGTAGTTTTTCGATGATTTCGACCTTTGCCTTCTCTACCTCTATCCCAGCATTCGAAATCTTGTGACCGAGTACAATTCTTTCCTCTACCATGAAGTGACATTTCTCCCAGTTGAGGACCAAGTTCACCTTCTCACATCGTTTCAAGCACTTCCCCAAATTTACTAGGCAATCATCAAAAGATGTTCCTCCAACTGAAAAATCATCCATGAAGACCTCCATTTCGGCTTCCAACATGTCCCTAAAATGCTCATCATACACCTTTGAAAGGTGCCCGGTGCATTGCATAGTCCGAAGGGCATTCTTCTGTAAGCAAATTGTACCATATGGACAAGTAAAAGTGGTTTTCTCTCGGTCATCGGGGTTGATAGGTATTTGGAAAAACCCCGAATAACCGTCAAGAAAGCAATAATACTTGTGCCTAGTTAGTCTTTCGAGCATTTGATCAATAAATGGAAGGGGAAAATGGTCCTTTTTGGTTGATGCGTTTAGACGTCTATAGTCTATGCACATCCTCCATCCAGTTAACGTTCTAGTTGAGATGAGCTCACCATTCTCATTCTCAACTACAGTCATTCCCCCCTTCTTAGGGACAACATGCACAGGGGAAACCCATCTAGAACTCGAAATGGGGAAGATGATGCCTGCATCAAGGAGTTTGGTGATTTCTTTCTTCACCACCTCCCCCATTTGAGGATTGAGTTTCCTTTGCCGTTCTATGGAAGGCCTTGCATCATCCTCGAGAGTTATGTGATGCATACAAATAGCAGGACTAATACCGTTGAGGTTATCAATGGTATTGATGCTTTCTTAATACATCACATAACTTCCGAGTTTGATCCGCATCTAAAGAGGAATTCACGATGACAGGGTAAGTTTATTTAGGACCAAGAAATTCGTACCTTAGATGTGTTGGTAGAGGTTTTAATTCTACCTTAGGGGCCTCATTTACCTCTTTTGCTGCGGCCATATCAAGTGCATACTTGGTTGTGATCTCCATGTACTTATGTTCACCATCATCTCCATCTTGAATTTGCTCCTCCATGTCCCTGTTTTCTTCGGTATCACTTGGCTCAAGATCATGGTTAGTAGAGAGCAATTGCATATGCATATTAGAAACAATCGAATCAATGATGTCAATCATCATGCATTTTTCAGAACTAGAACAAGGACATTGCATGCTTTTATTTAAATCGAAATCTAAAACTTCCTCCCCTACCTTTAAAGAAATCTTAGCACTCTTCACATCAATGAGAGCACCTGAGGTAGCTAGGAAAGGTCGTCCTAGAATAATAGGTATATGACTATCCTCATCCATTTCCAAAACCACAAAATCAATAGGTATTACAAATTTCCCAACCCGCAGGGAAACATCTTCCACTTTACCCTTAGGAAATTTGATCGAACGATCAGCTAATTGCAGGGTAATGTTGGTGGGAAGAAGTTCTCCTACCTCTAAACGTTGATACACAGAATATGGCATAAGACTAACACTAGCCCCAAGATCACATAATGCATTATCAATTTTCATCTTATTAATAGCACAAGGGATTGAGAAATTGCCTGGATCTTCTAATTCAGGAGGCATTTTATTCATAATTATTGCACTACAATTTGCAGTGAGGTTAACAGTTTCTACCCCATCACAGTTCCTCCTACCACTCAAAATATCTTTTAAAAATCTAGCATAATTAGGCATTTTCTTGATAGCGTCAGTGAATGGTATGGAAAGGTGGATTTGTTTCAAAGTCTCCAAAAACTTACCAAATTGAACATCTAGCTTGTGCCTCACGAACTTATGGGGGTAAGGGAGTTTCTGCAATAAATTAGGTTCTTTGGCTTGTGTTCCCTCTTGTTCTTTTGGGACCTCATTAATTTTATCATTCTCTCTGGTCCTCTCATCCTCACTTTCAACAACATTATCAGTGATAGGTGGAGTCTAAGGTTGATTCTTAGGTGGTATTACTTTATCGCTCCCTACCAATGTTTTTCCACTCCTAGTGGTGATAGCATTCATAGAATTTTTAGGGTCAATACCTTGAGGCGGGAGTTTGGAAACTCCAACCCCATCTTTTATAGCACTAGCTAACTGGGAAATCTGGGTTTCAAGCATTTTGTTATGTGTCATCACTTCACTAAACTTTTTATCACTGGTGGCCATGAAAGTGTTGAACATTTTAGATTGTGCTTCCATCATCTCCTCCAAACTAGATCTTTGCGGTGGTCCTTGGGCATAGTAATTGTCATTAGGGGCTCGGGAACCACGCACATTAGATTGTTGGGGATTTTAATTTTGGAAGTTCCTATTAGCATTGTTATTCCAGTTTCCCCTGTTATTGGCATTCATGTTTTGGTTATATTGCCTTTGATTAGCCTGATTTCCTGCATTTTGTTGCTATTGATTTTGATTATCATAATTACCATGTTGATTATAGGATACTTGGGGATTTTGGTCCCTTTGGTTCCTGTTTCCCCACTGGTTTTGCTGTTGGTAATCAAAATTATTACCTTGTTGATTCTAATTGTTCCCTCTTTGATTTGGTGGTAAGTATTTATTGTTGTCATTCCTAGGTCTATTATCATAAGACAAGGCGTTGACTTGTTCGTTTTCAAATTCATTACCATCATTGCAATTAGATTGAAATTGGGAATCCAAGTTACAGGAAAAAGTATCATGGTCATAAGACACACAATTTTCACAGAATATACATCCAGTAAGCATATTATAGGAGTTAGAATTCGTACCTCTCTCCTTAGAATGGGAAGGAAGATTTTGATGCGGTGCGGCGTCGAGCTTATCTTTAATAATTGACATCTCCTTTCCTAGATTTGCAATTTGTGATGTCAGATTTCCGATTGCATTAAGGTGATCTACCGAATAGACCGCTCCTCCACTCTTGCTCGTAGCTTCCCGCTCTCCATCTTGCCAATCCATGTGGTGTCGTACCACATCTTCTATGATATCTATGACTTGCTCTTCGGTTTTGTTCATGATTGGGCCACCTGCTCTCGCATCCAAACTGGTTTTCCCTTGAGGACTCAATCCTCCATAGAATATCTGTAGCACCTGGTATGTTGGAATTCCGTGGTGCTGGCACTCTTTTTGGTACTCCTTGTACCTTTCCCATGCTTCATAGATTGACTCCCCACTCCTTTGCCGAAATCCTTGGATCAAAGCTCTAGCATCGGCCGTCTTCTTCTGAGAATAGAATCTTCCCAAAAATCCTGTCGTGACATCATCCCAAGTATGTAAAGTGTTTGGTTTAACCTCTTTCTCTAACCATTCGAGAGCTCTCCCAATGAGTGAAAATGGGAAAAGCTTTAATCTCACGAACTCTTAAGTCACCCCATTGACTTTAATAGTGTTGCAGTACTTCTCAAACTCGTTCAGATGAGCCAAAGGGCTCTCATTCTTGGCACCGCTAAACTGCCTTCGTTCGATAAGGGTGATCATGGCCGGCCGGATCTCGAAGTCATTGGCTTGAGTGGTGGGTGGAGCAATCCCACTTGAAGCTCTATATGCCCCGGGAGTTCCCAACTCCTTAAGAGGTCGTGGTGGTGGCTGATTTTCTGTCATTGGAACTGGTTGTGTGCTTGGGCCGGTTTCCTTTCCTTGAGAGTTTGATGATTTCGATCGGGATTTTCGATTGCTTTTCAAAGTCCTTTCGATTTCAGGATCGAAGGGTATTAACTCTCCCTGTTTAGACCTGCGCATACACACTAACCCAACCAATCAAATAGCAGGGCTACAAGTGTAGCCAAAAAGAAAAATCTTTTTGTATTTTTGTTTTAAGAACTAGACTCAAGAAATCAAAAAGCAATTATCAAACACCGTTCCCTGGCAACGGCGCCATTTTGACAAGCATTATATTGGTCGCACAATATAACTCTTAATCAAACAATATTTATACGAACACCCTATAACCAGTACAATGGCAAATAAAGGTTCGGTCCACAAAGAACAGGAGTAATTGCAAATTAATCTTAAAACCTAAGCTAGTTCGAAGTCAAATGAAAGATGGTGTTCTAAATAACTACTAATGAGATGAATAAATCAATAAACTAAAACACTAGGGAGAACGGGAGTCCGCCTAACCATTGGTAACTAAGCAATAAGGAATCATAGAGACAAACGAGATATGCAAAGACTATATGCCTGATCAATATCATGTGATAGGAAGACAACGGGCAATACTAAGCTTGGATTTCTCATGCACTTAACATTACTCGATACATAATCAAACTACATTCAATAATGAAATACTCAATTCACAATCTCTTGTTCAAACCAATAATAACATGCAATCAAATTCAAGACTCTAGGTTAGCTACTCCTATTATAATGAATTAACATGCAATCGCATATAATCAGTTTAATCACAATCTGTTTATCAAAACCAACCTTCAATTACATAGATTACCTAGGCCGGGTTTCATCCCGAAACCCTAGTAAGGGAACTACTCACACATATTCATGATCAAAGCAACAATAAATTCTAAAGGCATAATAAATATAAACATGAATTCTAATCAAGGATAATAAAGCTTTGAATAATAAATAGGAGCGAATAATACCAATAAATCGATGCGAATCAATGCAAAAGATAGGAACTTTGATATCCGATGTCAATGAATAATACAAAGAATCCCAATTAATCTTGCCTTGAATAAAATCCGGAAAACTAGAGTATCTCAAATCTGATGAACTATGAATTTGCTAGAATAAAATCTAAGAAAACTATGGAACCTTAACTACGGAAGTACTCTCAATATCTCTCTAAAAATCTGTCTCTCTTAACCCTTACAATCGGGCTATATATGTGTGTTTTAAATCGGAAAGTAAATCACAGACTGCTCTTCGTAAATCAGCACGGTCGTGCTGAAAGTGGCACGGCCGTGCAGGCATGGCAGAGAACCATCGAACTTTTCTTGGACTTCGGCACGGTCGTGCTGATGGTTTGGCACGGCCGTGCTGCACTCTGCACAGGCGTGCAGCATAGGCAGTGGAGTTGAGGGCAATCTGGCACGGGCGTTCCAGATGTGGCACGGCCGTGCTGCTTGTGCAACTTATGCAAATTCTTGCAACATCCTTAGTTTGCTGAACTATGACCAAAGTTGGCTCGATCACGCACCAACGGCTCGGGACCCGACTAAACTCGGTCAATTATACCTGAAAACACATCAAAAACAATCCGAAACCCGTGAAGCACGTAATATAAGGGTTATAAACATAACAAGGCAATAAACGACCAAAACGGTCGTAAATACGACCAAAATCCTCCAATTATATGTCCTAAAGCGCGCCCTAAAGTACGCTTGTCAATATTCATCGACTCCTTGTTCATATTCATCGCTCCATTTGGCAAACATCCACCAATTCTTAGTTCCACCTTCCATTCCTTAGGGTAAAAATAGAAATTAACAGAGTAAATAGGTACCAAAGGATATGCACTACATATGAAATCAGTTTCTTAATACAGGATTACTGCTTGATTCAGATCTATCTCCTTTCTATCATAATAAAGTAATAAAAAGAGTTCAATGTGTTATTTACTATTTAAGATAGATATAAAGAACCATGTTCTAATCTTCTAGCAATAACAGCAATAGAATTCTATAGATTTATATTCAAACCAATTAATTCAATTTTAAAAGTCTATACTTCTAAGCTAATTCCAAAGACATGAAGCAACAGAACATAACCATTATCCCTGGATAAAGACGTGAGAATGAAATATAAATGGTTAAAAATCATATTTTGATCAATTTTATAGCACTGTACCCCCTTTTCCAAGAAATGCCTATTATCTTGATCATGATTACAAATTTGAAAACGTTGAAATGAAAGAGTGAACACTTACCAGGCGAATTGAAGAGAGTTGTGAGGAATCTTGATTGCTACAAAGTTCTGCTTCTTTAACACTTCTTTTATGAAGCACCTATTTTAGACTATCAAAATGGGTTCTGCACTAGTAGCTGTTCAACACAAACTAATCATAAATAGTACACTAAAAGTTAAAGTTTATTTACTAATTAACCAAAACAGTAATATTTTAGTTTGCCAAATTAGGCCAGTAAATAACAGCTTCATACAAATGACTTTCTTTGCTGATTGGCAAATAGAGCCAACAACGATATACAAGAAAAAATTTACAAGTCTATGTTACTCACTCATTGTTCCAATATCTTCTATTTGCCTAAGAGCCTTTTTAGTTATTTCACAATTCGATATGTCAGTTCACAAGTTTGGTGAATTACATTTTGAATTAGCATGTTGGATAGAAAAAGGCTGTCTCAATAGCATTTTGGGCTCAAATAAAACAAAAATCATTGTGAAAAATATACTAAGAAAGGAAGACAAGGAACATAATAAATAAGAATAATAATCATCGACTTGACTGATCCAAAGGGTGACCTTAAGCTTCTTTCATTAAATCAAGGATCAAGAATAGGTTCTAAACATTAATAATTTGACGGCTCAGAAACATCATCTCAAAGACTCCATAATTCTCACCATGAAAATATTAGGTGCCAAAGGAGCAAGCTAAGTCAATCCTTGATTATTACGTTCAACTAATTCTTCATAGCATGATTCTTCAGATTAATTAATACAGAAAAATTCAAAAACACTACAAAATTGTACAAAAAAAATCAACTAAAATTTCACAACAAAATGCAGAAATCAAACATTAAAGATGAAATTAAGAAAAAGAGGAGGAATTCGAGAAGAAAACCTGGAGAATTCAGAGGTTGTGAAATGAAATTAAGCAGCGTCTTCTGTAAAAAAATATCGAACTGTATTGTTAGTTTGGTGGGTATTAAGAGAAGAAAGGAGAAGGTAATTGATGTCTTAATTTGGAGGCGATTTGGGACCCAACCCCAACATCAGCCTCCACACTGGCCAACCCCACCCAACGCCTATGAACCCATCCATGTCAGCTCATGTGAGATTGTTTGTACTGTAATAGCATAATATTATATTATGGCAAAAATCCAAATTAAATAGGTTTCTATACAAATACCACTATTGATGATTGATGAATTTCTCTAATAAACGCAACAATGAACAGAAATTAGTCTTTGGAATACATTGGTATGATCGTCAAAATTACAGCTTCATGAGAAGCAATCAACCAAATGATGATTACTACTCAGATAATAAGATCATCTACAGTAAAATCCGAAAGCGAAATAACAGATACCAAGCTCAGCTTTTGTACTGGTGTACTAACTTATTGTTCAATGCTTATTCTACAAAAGAAACCTACCATAACACTAACCAAAACCCAAGTTTATTCGCAGCACTAGGAAAAAAAACAACCAAATCCTTAGAGAAAGTTAAATTGTCATATGACAAACACATTAGCAATCACTGATTATTATAATCATCTTTCTCAATTCATCCAACTGTAAAAATTCAACTGTTAGTACTACAAAACACTTAACCAATAACAGCAGATTATACCATTAATAGTCGAATAATTGGCAACCAACTTCTCCTTCTCCTTCTCATCCCCATCATCCAAACCCAAACCCACGGCCGCGGGTGTCACACTCTGCGAGCCAGTCAACCGTGCCAACACAACAAAAGATATCCCACCAAGCACATTATTCAAACACCTTAGAATAACAACAGACGACTTAAACACAACCGGCGACGTCACCTTCGCCAACAAAAACTCAACCCCATTCAAAGTCTGATACCTCAAGTTGCTACTAATTAGTCAAATACCCAGATCATATTTCACGCTACTAATTAGTCAAAAACAGCAAATTTGAAGAGAAAATCCACTTCAAAATTAAAAAACAATGCAAACCCATATCATAATTTCTGACAAACGGAACAAAAATAAAAAAAATAGATGAAAAAAAATAAAGAGTAGAGCACCAACAATAAGAACAAAACGTTTAGCAGGAGAAGAAAAGCAGAACCAAAGATTCGAGCAGCTAACTTCAACAGGTATGTCAAGTATTCCCAAATAAACCCCCAAAAAAAATTAGGGTTCATAAATAGAAAAACCACCCCAACAACCACCCTTAAGCAAGAAATCATCCACATGCAACATTCGAACAAATCAACAAATCTAAATCCAAAGATTCGAGCAATCAGCCACATGCAAGGTTCAAACTAAAACTATATATAAAACAAAATCAACAAATCCATAATTGGTAGACGAAAATTCAAGGTATACCTACCTTAGATAGAGATTCAAGCACAGCAGAACGAAACGGCGAGGAAGGAGAACGAAGCAGCGGCGGCGAGGGAGGAGAACGAAGGAAGGAGCAGCGGTAAGGGAGGAAAACGAAGGAAGACTGAGAAGTTTGGGAAATGGGGTTTCAATTTAATTTTTGGCTCTAATATATCATCATTTCCCGAATTTTTTTTTTTTTTTTTTTTTACTCATCCATTGTATTAGGTCTTATTCATTTTTTCTTTTTTTTTATTTTTTGAGGCTGATCCGTTGGATTAGCTCCAACTGAAAAATATAAAAAAAAAAATTCGGGAACACTATCCGTTGTGTTAGAAGAATAATCCGTTGGATTAGCTCATCTAATACAACGGAATAGTATATCTAATACAACAGCTAGTATAAACCGTTGTATTAGCCTTGTTTTAGTGTAATATAACGGATTAGCCTAGTCTAATACTACGGTATGAAATTAGCCGTTGTATTAGCTATTTTTGAACCGTTGCATTAGATCAAAAATGTAGTAGTGCGCATTAACATTAGTCCCTTTTAGGTGAGAATAAAATAATTCCAAGATCCCAAAAATCAAAAAGTGATTAAGTATGCTTTGGCTTGTCTTAACACTTAATATTTTAGGGTAAGAAATCCAATTTCTAATAGCTCCAAGCTACTCTTAGAATGGCAGATGATGCCTCGCTTTGGCGTAGCCCATCACCACGCTCATTAGTTCGGTAAGTGTCGTTCTTACAATGGCAGATTTGGCTCAATATTATAGGGACCTAGGGTTTCTATGTTAGTTGATTTAAGGGAACTTAATTAATCATCGCCACATTTGAAATCCTAAACATGCATCTACTAAGACATATCGCCAAAATGCAATTACTACCTACTACCTACTAAGACTAGGATTAATCTAAATATTAACGTAGTAAAATATGCAATGGTACGCAGATCGTATTTAGATTTACAAAAATACATAACGGATCGCAGTCCATATTTACTATCCTTATCGCGCCCCACTAGTTGCCATTTTCACGAAACCCGTGAAACAATATACATTCCATTCATCCATTCACTATATGTGAATAGCCCATGCATTTTACAACGAAAACAAGTAACAATGCATAACGCGCGCGAACTTGTAACTAAGTTAGGTGGTTAATCTAATTAACGCGCCTAATTAAAACTAGTCAAAGTTGTTTAACATTTTTTGTGATTATGACGCAATTAGTTCATGCAATTAACGAAGCTCCCACTAAATTCCGCATCCAACTTAATTAATCCAATCAATTAAGCTGGTTAACCCAAATTTTGTCAAAATTAATTTTGCAAGTGCCGAAGGAATCGAGGCCTAGCCTTGTTGAAAAAAAATTAATTAAAATAATTAAAATGGAAAAATTTCACAAAACACAAAGCCCATGCATCGTAAAATCAGCCTACTCTAAACCAAGTGCCTAGCATCGTAGCCATGGGACTAGGCTTGCTAGACATCAAGGTTGCGGCTGGGGTGTGCTTGGGAGCAGGCAGCCTGCCTAGCAAGGCACACCATGCCTACTGGCACCAGCACGCATCGCAACAAGCCTCGCATGCTTGCATGTGTGCTGGCAGTTGTGGCTGGTCTACTAGGGCTCGCTGCTTTGCCGCCCTGCAGGACTTGCGGGCATCTCCAGCAGCCACGCACCACAAGCATCAAGCACGCACCTTTGTGCAAACCTAGCCCGCCACACAGCCGCATCATATCGAGGTGGGAGCACCTCCATGTGCACCAAGGCAGCCACATGTGGGCTGCGTGAGCAGCCCGACTAGACTTGGTGGTGCTTGGGTGATTTTACCTCAATTTACGTGCTATTATTTCAGGATTTTAATCCCGATATATGTGTGACATAAAATTAATTCTAAATTTATTTTAGAATCAATTTAGAGCAAAATGAAAATTAAAATAAGTTCAACTTAATTAAATTCAATTTTAATAGTGCGCAAGCCTAAATTATTCAAGAACCATTCTTTAAATCAATTTAGGTCTATCTTGATGCTACAAAATTGAAGGGCTACACTCATAATTAATTTAATCAAATGTAAATTAATAATGAGATTTGACAAAATTAAAGGGGTTAGAAAATTAAACCCTTTCATCAAATGAAAAATTTCCAACAATAACTTGTGTAAAATTGAAAAATTACAACTTCCAACATGAAGATTAATTTAATTTCAATAACAAGTTTTGAACTTTTAGGACTTTAATCAACTCAAAAATTATTAAATCCAAAAATTAGTTCAACATGGAATTTAGCAATCAAAGTTTCAACCAAATAAACAATTAAAGATTGGATCTTTGAAATATTAGGGACTTTAAAAATTACAAGTTCAACATAAACATTCACACTAGAAGCAATTTATTTGCAACAATGTGAAAAATTCAAGTTTATGTGAAGAATGAACACACTAAATTAAGCACCAATTATGATTTCATAAACATGCTTAATCAGGTTTATAACTGCAGTAGATTAGGGATGCAACCATAAATTGAATCTACCTTCAACATGAAATAATTAATCAAGGTTAAAAGAAATAAAAAAATTTCATCAAAAACAAAAAACCCCTCAAAAAACATGTTTCTAGGTGGATTTTGGCTTCTGGACAATCCTTGAGGGTCAAAAACGATTTAGAACATCGATTCCACCAAAAATATCACTATTTTTGAGTCAAAATCTGGGTTCGCATCCAAAATTAATAAAAATACAAGATTAAGACTAATTAAAACGAGCTTCTAATCTAATTAGAAAGCACAACCAGAAATTTAAATCCATTTTAAATCACCTTAATTAATTATTAGTTACAAAAATTAAAGTGAGCACGGCTCCGATACCGCTGTTGAAGGACACCATTCCTTTCATAATTTATATCATTGCATATACAAAAATATTTCCAAAAGGAATTAACTAAGATTCAACTTCTTCTTAACTCGAACTTGTTCTCAACTAATTATCATGCGAATATTGGCTTAGAAATGGTTAACGAACCACCTACAAGATCAAAATCAATGATTGATAAGAACAAATAAAATATATATTTGAGACATTGTTCTAATTAAGCCAACTCTGAGAATAATCTTACCTCAATGATCTTTACAACGTTTGGACATTAGGTAAAATCTACTAAACCTAAACAATAATTGTTTTTGGTTTATGAACAAGCAAAGAACTAACTTGCTTTCTTAAACATGACTTCAGCTAAAACTGCGTAAGTCATGTTACCATCCTAAATGTTCTCAAGACACAAACATGGGATACATAGGCAAATTTAAACATCGTGATTATATATATAGCCTAAATAATAGAAAGTCTTTGGAATTACCCTAATTTCAGGGCTCCAACACTTAAGAAATAGCAAATATACGCATAATCCAACACATGGAGGCTCCAATATCCACAATAAACAAAATGAGATATTCATGCCATTCCAGCTACTTTCCAAAATCACCTAAACTATAAGTAGTTTACGTAGATCTCGAGCCTTACAATTTTCAAATGCATCACAATGATTCAATAATCAGTATTTTCATTTAAAAACTGAGTTTGCAACTGAACTTGGCCATAGAACAAACTAAAAACATATCATATATTAAAGTCATTTTCATGTTTAAACTCAAAAACTAATCTTAGTGCATAATTGTTATTTCAATACTTGAATTTACTCTAGAGATTAGAGAGTATGACTAGTATAGAGAGAAATAAACAAAAACCATGAGTATCAAAATATGATTCAAAACGCATACAACATGCCTACTCATACGAAAGTTTAATACTCAATCGTTCATCATGGAAATTGTATCAAGACGCTTCAATAACATAAGACAAACAATTTCATGAAAATAAAAGAGAAAGACTCCTAAGTTCAAAATTAAAGGTTCTTCATTCTCTATTGTTGCGTGAATGACAAAATTGAAAACATTGGATTTTCGCAAAGAGGATGATATCTACTGACTCGAGCTTCAATTAATAACAAAATTTGAGCTCAAAGGAAAGAATTCAAAAGTAGCGAGAATAGAGGGAAAAGTTGAATAACATTATATTTTCCCTCTTACTTGTTCTAAAGAATGATCAATATTACTAGACTTAATAAATTTCCTTTGGTAAAAAATGATTTAAACACACTTGTTTAATCGTTTTCAAGATCCTAGGTGTTATCATAATAAGACGAAACACGGGATTTCTCAACCCATTTCAAGTAACATGAAAGGGTCTAAATCTTAAGAAACAAATTGTCATCGAAGCTACCCAATATCTGGGGCTACGTCACTCGAAAATATAAAATGAGGGCTCAAAAGCCCGAAATATAGCCAAACTACACAAGTTCGATGATGTCTTCAAGAATTTCCTACACTAACTAGTTTTATGCAAATCATGAAATTGTAGTTTTAGAAGTGAATAATAATAACTATCAATTATTTTTATCATTGATAAAACCAATCTTACAAATTACGCATGGCAAATATAAACATGAGTTGCAAGAAAAATTTCATGCCCTCATCCAAGTTCAATATTTTGATCCCAAATTTAGTGCATAATTGTCGTTCTAACACTTCAATTTATATTAAAATTAACAAGTATAGTCCATATGAGCAAAAAAAAAAAAAAATTCAAGTACAAATTCGAAAATCAAATGAAGAAAAAACATATATGCTTGTGTATTCTCATACATGACTCGACTTGACCACTTCACATGAAATTTGCTGCAATATATTCCTTAAACATGACACAACAACATAGAACAAATAAATTCATGAAAAAAAGTCGAATCGAATACCCCCAATTTCAAAAAATAGGGTTCTTCTTTTGATTTTCCCCATTTTGGTTACCAAATTAAAAGTCTGGTACAATATCCAAGGAGCACGATTTACTTTCCTTAACTAAAAAAAGGAAAGAGACTGTAAAAGATGAATGAAGAAGAAGGGCACGAGCTGCAGATCGTGTTCTTCCATAATTGTTCATTGTTTAAGTTCTTCACACAATCCACAAAGTTGCGTGAGACAGCTGCGTGCAACTTCTAATGTTGTGCGCGACGCCCCAACGCAACCCTCAAAGTTGCATGCGGTTACTGGTCAGTCAAAATGGCCATTTCTCGGTTTTTGTTTAGTCTTCCAAACCGATGTTTTAGCTCGTTGAATTCGCACCTCGACAGGCTTTCTCGCGAAGTTTTTAAAACCTTCAAAAACCATTTATTGCGTTGCATTTTGTAGTTTATTTTCTTCTTTAATAGTTTTTTGCATCATCATGCATGCACACCGTGCTTTGCGCCTGCCCCAAGCATACGTTTGGATGTTTTTCGGAAAAGATTTTACAAAATATCTTGTAGCGGTGCTTTACGTGAAAGCTCCCATAGACAGTTTGGCATTTTCCTGCACTGCCCTTAAAGAAATGTCTCGTTTTTAATATTTTTGGCGTTACTTAACAAAAATACTGCGTACGTACAGCGTAAAATTGTACGACGTATGTGTTGCGTAAAATTGCACTAGCAACGTGATCTGCCTCCCGCCGAAAACGGTAGAACCCTTGTTTCTGTTAAAGGAGTTAGCTTAATGAGTCGATAAGCGCGCCGAACCATCAGGGCTAGACGACCCCCGTTGGAAGCAAATACGGTTAGCTTGAAAGTTGTCATGATTTACCGGACACTTAGGATGTTCGTCCACCCCCTGTAAAGAGCGACCCCAACTAAAGCTGCACCTATTAAGACACGTGCCCCCAGTCTTGAGACTTGTGTTTTCATCTTGTGGACAAAACTGCTGAGAGAGTTGCCAATTTTCTTCTCTCTCACTGGATTTGAATATGTGCCTCTAGTCCTGAGACATGTATTTCCATCATGTGGACATCGAGTATCTGTTTTTCCAGCGTATGTCAATCTTTTATTCAAGTATTAGGCTATGAATGCTAAAACACCCCCCCCCCCGCCCATTTATCATCTTTTACTTTGTTAAAATCATGGACTAAAGTTCCAATGACAAATCGAGGGTATCATCCTCTTTTAATCTTTTTAAATCCAGTACCTTCTCATAACATGACATCACCTAGGACAGCCTGTACTTGTAAAAGCATTCTATACTTGCAAAGTGTCAACCTCCATTCTTTAGCGCGCTAAGTTCAAATTACCTTGATCTTAGTAGCTACTTGTCTCGAACATTTAGCGAATCAAGAATAGTTTTGACATTCTCAACAATACTGAAAGATTTTTTATTTTTAAAGAACTTTGCAGAATAAGTCTCGGATTTACTTCCTTGACTACTTTAATCTTCGTTTAATCTAGACCAGATCTTAGTATCTACCTGTCTCAATCAAAGTAAGTTAGAACCTGTATTTCAGACCAAATCAACTCAGATCCTAGTCTAATTACTAATTAGGCCTAAAACATGCTCATACATGTTTAATCTTGATTATTAACGGACCCAAATGCGTCATATGCAATGATTAGATCAAATGGGTCTTACATTGTTAAAAACCGAGCTAACCAGAACATATAATCACCTAATATCCATTCAAGGCTTATATAGTTGGATATCCCTTTAAAAGAGCTTTCAAACGGTATATTGTAAGCCCAATTCCGAGTTAAAACAAAGAAGTTATCATCATAATACTATATCGGGCACTAAAATCAAAACCCTTGCACTCAAACAACCATATCTTTTTATCCATAATAGATTTTAACCTAATTCTAACGAAATTAGAAAGTAGAAATTCAGAGCTTTCCAATGATATCTTATTTTCTTTAATTCAACTTTGCAATCAAAAGTTATGGAAGTTTTAGAATCGCGTTTTCGTAAACGGGAAATCGCACCGCCCGCAACTCTCAATGTTTTGCGCGCATGCCGTGCTCAAGTCTCAGAGTTGCGCGCACCTGTTGCGCACAAGTCTCAGAGTTGTGCTCGGCACGCCAGCGCGACCTTGAGAGTTGCGCGCACCCCTTGACACCGCGGCCGTAAAACCCTAAACCTAGATTTCTACGCTAATAAATAGGGGTCTTCGTTAGCCCTAAAGGAACAGAAAATTCAGAATTAAATACCCTAAATTCTGAAATTACTAATCTTTCATACTCTCATACTATCATACTACTTTTCCCCTATCTTCCCAAATACTCTCCAACCCTAATTTATTCCATTGAAGCCTTAGAGGTACGAAAAAGAAGGAAGGTCCATAAACATCCAAAACAAGATCTAGCAAACAAAGGAGAATACTTAGTTAAATCTCTTTTCCTTTATTTTTTGTTTTAATTTTAATAACTTTATCAATTAATTAGTAGTTGTTTGATCACTTTAAATAAACTCTAATTTATTTATTCACATAGTATTCTTTCGTTAATTATAGACTAGAAATTGAATAATTAAATTGTTGTTTTATCACCTAAGTCAAGGCAAATATTCTTTATTTTGTTCTTTTCACGAATTTGAATTTAAAAAAATAACGACATTCGTTGCAATGTAGACTTTTTGTGATTAATGTTTGTAAATAAAATCAGTTAGCTTAGTATTTAGGAATCGCGTTGCATATATTATTTAGTAATGAGATTGTGAAAAAGGAAGAGCTAGTAGAGGGTGCACTAGGACAAGGATGGCGATTCCCCTCAAAAAAGGATCGTTTATCTTAGTACCCTTGCTCCTGAACTCATTTTTGGTTTAATAGACCAATTTGGGCATGGGTAAATTTATGATTCATGGTAATTATCCTTTAAACACTACATGGGAGAAAGGTATGAACGAGGTTTATGAGTTTTCCTAAAACTCATTGGTGACTCCCTATTAGTTTTTTACAAAAAAGCATAATGATAGAATCAATTCTAATTCAAGGTCCCCCAAACAGTCAAGAATTTAAATCCTAACACACTTTCAAAAGTGTAATGTCCTAGGCTTTTAAAGGGCCATGGGTATAGAGGAAGTGGGATCCCCAACAATGGGCTACCCTCCTCACAGATAGATAAAGCTGAGTTAATTGATTTTATTTACACACGTTATTCACATAAAGATTACATTACAACGAATGTCGTAATTCTTATTTAGTCCAAATTCGTGAAAGAACAAACGTAAAAAAGATTCGCCATGGCTTAAGTGATAAAACAATCAATTAATTTGTCCAATTCTAGTCTTGTTTAACGAAAGAATACTATGTCAAATTAAGTAATTATATGTTTATTTTAACATGATCAAGAAACACTAATTAATTAATTTAAGTGATTTAGGACAAGAAAAAGTAATGTGATTTATCTAAGCGCTTGGGAATTAGCACTTTTCCTTGCTAGATCTTTGTTTAGAATGTTTATTGCCACCTTCTTGTTAGGGAACCTCCACCGTAACATCAAAGTAATTAAAAGGATGAGTGTTTGGGACAAGAGGGTTGATTATTGCATAAGTTCATAAAATGTTACTGCTGACCTTTAGGTTATTTTTCTATGTCTTTTGAGCATGTATTAAACCTCTATTTATATAGAATGGCTAAGATTAGGGTTTCGGAGATTCTACCGCAGCAGGTGGCGTGCGCAACTATGAAGGTGGTGCGCACAACTGTGAAGTTTGCGCGCGCCAAGCCGGCGCGACTTCATGAGTTGCGCGCAGATTTTCCTACGACAGCCCTAGATTTTAACCTAGGTGTTCTAAATCCATCCGAAATTAGGTTTAATCTCGGGAATAAGCCTAATTTTTTATCGGACTTAGTGTTAATGAGCTTTAGTTCATTTTGTTTGGATCAAGCTAGCTAGTTTTTGTGTTTAGGCCTTAATAAGGAGTCCATAAGCATTCCTTACTCCAATCCAGCACAAAAATGGAATTATTAATCGTCATAGCACTTTCGGTCGGGACAGGGGACCAAAAGTAAATGTCTACAACATGTAATCCAAAACACACTCAATATTTTATCATCATATTATGAATGGTATTCGATAATGAAGATGCTAAAATTTGCAAAGTAATGGTAGCTAAACCTATGCGATAAGTGAAACACAACATTCACGATTGCATCAAGGAATTCGAGCATAATAGATATGGGTGTGATTTCTATAAATGTTTGTAATGAGCATTACTCTTAAAAATTAGAGAAAACCATTTATCATAAGATGAAACGTTGAAAAGTTTCATAAGGTAATGAATTTTGCTTATTATTCCATGATCATTTAATTATGGTTTAGAGTTAAATTATAAGTCTATTCAATTTGACGATATTCAAAATAGGGTATCAAGATCATGTCTTTGATAAAGAAACACCTATTAAGTGAACATTGAATGTCATATAAAAAATATTCCTAATCGAGGTCGTTTAAAGGATGGACGGTTAATAACCATGTGAGATTAGTGTGTAGTATGATTTATAACACTGTTTCTTGTGCTACGAGGACATGAATGTCATAAATTATTTTCACGAGTATTAGTTTTGAACTATACAAAGTTGCCAGTATCAGGATCCTACTTTGGATCGATAAGGGGGGGTAGGATCGGATTGTAGAATCGTAAGATCCTACAAATTTGAGGAAATAAGCAACCAAATTGGTTAACTGTGCCTAGTACATGTTTCTTAAGTAAAAATAATTGTTAGAAAACACACTTTTGCTCATATATGATCGTTGTTACATAATTTAGATGATTTTACAAATATTTTAAAGCGTACATAGTACAAATAGTATAAGAAAAACATAGTTCACAACATAAAAACTAAAAAAACTGAATAATCAACAAACTAACAACTACTACTCTTCAATATAACCAAAATTCTTATCATTGGCATCATCAAAGCTCTCTGTTCCGGATGTTTCTGTTCCTATTCCCGTTCCCGTTCCCGTTCCCGTTACCGTTACATACCCATCAAGATCACCATGATTGTACTCATCATCATCACCAATATCAGTATATTTCCTTTTCTTCTTTGCTGATTCTAGTTCATTTTGATGTAAAATAGCTCTAATTTTTTGTTTAACCTCATCAGGGACTTGGAAACAAGCTTCAACATTAGAGTGAGTGCCAGGTATGTGATGTTTTAGCCTGAAGATACCACCAGATCGCACAATACCATAATAATTACACCACACTTTCTTAGCAGCTTTATCCACCTCAGTTGCATGTTCCCAACCCGGGTCTAATCTATTTTCAGGAGCATTTTTCCTGTTTTTTGTAGAACTTGACATAGTTTAAATTGGATTAACTTGAAATTAAGCTACTATAGTGTCAAAAGAAAATCCAGAACAATCAACATTTTTATGCCATATAATTTTATATCAAATGAACATTAATTCTTATGAATTTAAAAACCCATTGAAATTGCATAATCAAGCAGAGTATTAAAAAAAAAAATCACAACTAAGAAGGAAGAATGCCAGGAAAATAACTTATTATTTCTCTGTTAATTAACACTAATCAGACCAATCAACAAGAAAATAACTTTTTAAGAAAAGCAAACTAACAAAGTAACAATAATATGTCACTAAATTAAGAATATTAATAAAAAAAAATAAAAAAAATAAGTGTCACGAAATTAATATGGAGTATGAAAAAATGCTTTTCAGCAACATGTGATTGGGCATTTGAGCTGATCAACATACCCACCAAATTTGCCTCAAAATTAATTGAATATACAAAAATTGAATAAGTAAAGTAAAAGTATTAAACTAAAGTACAGCAAATTACTTCACCAATCTCATCAATCTCATCAATCTCATGAATTTCTATTGAAAAAAAAATCGAGAAGTGGTATTATTTACCTTGTATATAATTGATAATAGCATGCAATTTGACTACTAAAAGATAAGCTGAGAAGATCGAAGAGCATAAATCAAATTTGACTACTTTAGCTTCAATTTTAAGCTTTGATTCGAGCAAAGATCTATCAAGAGCTGCGTTTCAGTGAGTGTTTGGGCTTCAAACAGAGAAAGGAGAAACGTTTAATCTTTTGAGGTCATTATTTTGGGCCTTAAAAAAAAGATTGTATGTTTTGGGCTCTATTTAAGAGTCTTTACTTAGGATCGGTAAGATCGTATTGAAATCGCGATCCCACCGATTACACACGATCCCACACGATCCCACTACGATCCTGGTTCATTTGCGACTTTAGCTTCGATCCGGATCGATTTGTAATATCTGGATCGTAGGATCGTACGATCCGGATCACGATTCTAACAACTATGGAACTATAATGGATTGACCTATGAGAATACTTTAAAAGATTTAAAATCGTCATAAGTATATATATCTCATTAATGCTATCGGTACCTTTTTCCTTAACCATGACTATCATAAGTTTGCTTGTTTATGTACTCGTCTATTTTGATGTTGTCAAACCTCGGCCGTAAAAGGGGATTATAAAGGCAACATTTGGCCAACTATATCTCATAGAAAGTGAAGCTTAATAATACAAGATTGGGAATGTCCTCCCATTAATAATGGGAAATATGTCTTTGTTGTTTACAAGGCCTCTTGAAGAGCGAAACTGTAAAAATGCATGGCCGTGCTTGGGTGGATTTTGGATAATCATCTGTACTTGACAGTCGAACTTGGAAATTCGAGAAACATTGCTGGACGTAATAAGCATTGGGTTTTACAATGTTCCAAATATCGTGCGTTAATAAACACCCGCCCTGGACCCATATGTAATTAATATGACAAATTGCATATAAAACATGAATACATAAACATATAAAAGGATAAGAAGTTATACCCTCAATATGTGCTTCTCTACTACTCGAACACAATCATTGAACGCCTTGGTCACCGAAAGCTTAAAACCGTAAATGCGAGCTCCTCCAACTTCGTACACCCACGCGCCTAAACCTTTGTCGTGATCTCGTAGCTTAGACAAAATCACAGAACGACTGAAGAGATTGACATACTCAAAAATTTTCTCACAATTAGGTGGAGATCCCTTTTTAGAGTCCAACTCTTGTACCAATCCCCAAAACAAGTTGGGTATTTTTAGAGTAGGGATCTCCAATCCCAAGGTAATCTTTCTGTTTCGGGGGTTTTTGATGTCCTGCGAGAGAGTTACAATTTCGAGACTGGAACCGGACGCCTGTACTTGCAAGACAAACGGAGACTCCGAGTGATTGGAGTTCCGCCTTCAACGGTCAAGTTAGTACTTGTTTAAGGAGTAATTAATGCGGAAAAGTAAAATGTGTTTCTCTAGGTCAGAGTAATTAATGAGCGTAATCCCCTTTAACGAGGATTAATGAAGGTATTTATAAACTTGGGATGCATGCCAATTCTAGGTTTTCGGTTAACCTAGGGCTGATTGGGCTTCCCTTGAAAGTTGGGCCTAGGTGGCCGGCTTTTCCATTAGGTATGGAGGATGCCACGTGTCGTGACATAATAGGTCCTTGGTGGACAAATAGGCGCGTGCCATATGGCAGGCTCTGACAAGTCCAATTAGAGGACACTTGGCAGGACCTGATTGGCCCACATGGCGCATTCTGATTGGTGGGAGTAAAATCCCTTAATCATTTGCCCCTCACAGGTGGCACGTGATTGGTCACATGTCACCTGTGACAGGTGTCGGCTAATAACAGGCGACGGCCTGCTACATGTGTCATCTGGTGAAAGGCCGAGGGTTTTTTCCCGTTCAAATTTTGAATTTGGGAAGTGACTCTTCGTCTTCTCATTTTGCCTATATAAGGGCATGTTGACTTCAGATATTTTCACACTTGAGAACTTTTATAAGAGAACACTCGGACCCCTGAACCTGTTCTGACATTTCGGACATTTCCAGCCTACCGCCTGCTCTGACAAGTCGGGTGATACTCAGACTTTCCAGAACTTCGTCAACTTCTCACTCGTTCAGGTAACCGTCTGTTCTCTCATTCTTTTACTTTTCTTTATTTTTTCTTTTTGAAATGGCACCACGGAAGCACACGACACGACCTAGGTTAGTGATCAGCTGGTCACCGGGGACGACTGAGTCTAGGACTAGGAGTGCCGCCTGCCCCTTTTCGAACCAATCTTTGCCCTTTATACAAAGTCCGACTGTCTCTGTGTCTATGTGTTTCGGGGTTTTCTGATGTCCTGCGGGAGAGTTACAATTCCGAGACTGGAACTGGACGCCTGTACCTGCAAAACAAACGGATGCTCCGGATGATTGGAGATCCGCCTCCGACGATCAAGTTAGTACTTGATTAAGGAGTAATTAATGCGGAAATTAAAGTGATTGGGTCTTTCTAGGTGAGAGTGTTTAATGTGTGTAATCTGCGTAATCTCCCTTAATGAGGATTAAGGGAGGTATTTATAACCTCGGGAAACGTGCCAATCTAGGTTTAGGTTAACCTTGGGCTGATTGGGCTTCCCTCGTAAGTTGGGCCTAGGTGACCGGCTTCTCCATTAGGCATGGAGTATGCCACGTGTCATGACATAATAAGTCCAGGGTGGACGAATAAGCGTGTGCCACGTGGCAAGCCCTGAGAGGTCCAACTGGGGGACACTTGGCAGGACCTGATTGGCCCACGTGGCGCATTCCGATTGGTGGGAGCAAAATCCCCTAATCATTTGCCCCTCACAGGTGGCACGTGACTGGTCACGTGTTACCTGTGACAGGTGTCGCCCTATAACAGGCGACGGCCTGCTACAGGTGTCACTCGGCGAGAGGCCGAGAGATTCTCCCGCCAAAATTTTGAATTCTGGAAGTGACCCTTTGCCTTCTCACTTCGCCTATATAAAGGAGTGCTGACTTCGGTCATTTTCACACTTGAAAACTTTGTGAGAGAACATTCGGACCCCTGAACTTGCTCTGACATTTTGGACCCTTTCTGCCTACCGCCTGCTCTGACAAGCCGACTGCAAAGGATTTTCAAAACTTCATCAATCGTCACTCGTTCAGGTAACCGTCGGTTCTCTTACTCTTAATTTTCTCTTTACTTTATTATTTTTTGAAATGGCACCACGGAAGCACACGACACGACCTAGGTTAGTGATCAGCCGGTCACAGGGGACGGCTGAATCTAGGACTAGGAGTGTCGCCTGCCCTTTTCTGGACCCATCTTTGCCCTTTATACAAAGTCCGACTGTATCTGTGTCTATGCAGAGCATGATGGCCAGAACAAAAAAGACTGCCAGGATCTCAAACTCAGACGGCTCCTCCCACAGGGTGCCGATTAGTGAAACATCTGACCAGGCGCCAGATGTGGAAGTGTAACAAAGCGGCTTGAAAGCCGGCAGTTCTGAGGGAGGAGTCAAAGTGACCCCTTTCCATTTTACAGTTGACAATTCTACATTCTCTCCTGCTCCTTTTAAAGGAGAGGAGGCGGGCCCCTCCGGGAGAGGGGAGGAGTCGTCCTCTTCGGACTCGTCAGAGGACGAATCCGAGTCTAGCTCTTCAGGCCATGCTTCTCTGGACACAGAAGAGAAAAACAGTCGCCTACAAGAGGCGAGGCTTTCTCACGCAGTTGAGAAGGGGGACGATTGGGCGGAGCCATCCGCCTCTCACCGAGAGCAAAATACCCCCTACTACTGCACGGTACCTCGGGGCCGGATCACGGCCATGCAAGAGAAAGTGGGGAGCTTTATCGCAAACCACACAATGGGCCCCGACTTTTTAGTGTTCGTGCCGGATCCAGAAGACACAGTCGTCTGGCCGGCTGGTACCAGTTATGATGGCGCCTGCTTTGGCTGCTACGAGGCGGCCATCAAGGCTGGGCTGCGCTTCCCACTACATCCGGCTGTTCAGCGGATCTTGGATGGGTATGAGTTGGGGTTATGACAGTTAGCCCCGAACTCCTGGGTCAACGTACTCGGCTATGTGGCCGGGTGCGAACTGCACGGGATGGAGCCAAACTTCGAGGCTTTCGCCCACATGAACTACCTCAGCCGGACCCCTAAGGCAGGCGGTACCGGCTGGTATCAATTGACGAGCCACAGGGGCTACCTCATGACGAGAGGTAAAGCAAACAAATGGAAGGACTGGCGGAGCACCTTCCTTATCATTGAGAGTTCAGACACAGAGCTGAACAAGCGCTTCAACAGGTGGAACAGGAATCCGCCCCTTCTTGCAGGCGGCCGCAGCATGCCGCCTGTTCCCCCCAAGGCTAAGAAAGAGATCCTAGATAAAGGACTCTTCAAAGTAGAGTCGAAGGTGAACTCTACTTCAGGGGTTCGAGAGCAAGTACCCCTGCACTGCGTCCCGAGCTTCAAATGGCTCTACGACGAGTACTTTTTGGCCGCCTGTGGCCTCAGCAGTCGGTGCTCAAGAGGTAGCCGGCCTGTCAAATACTCTGTTGTTCCGTGCATTTCTTGTTATGACTTTTATTAACTTTGCTATTTGTTTTTGCAGCGGACGCCATGAGCAAAATTACCGCCTCCAAGACTGCGGCGGCCATGTTGCGGGCCTCCATCATGCAACAGTCTTCAACCGACTCCCCCAACAAGGGGGCACCCTTGGTGGGCTTCGAACCTTTCACCCTCTTTTTGGAGTTGTGTTTATGCATATACCGACTCTTTTCTTCTTTTTTAGACGGGCGCTCCAAGAGCTTCTTCTTCCCAACAGCCGGACCCCAAGGCCCGGAGGACGACTGTTGCGAGCTCTCCTGGTTCTGCCAGGAAATATGCGGCGGCTGAGAAACAGCCGGCCACTTCTTCTAAAACTCCAGCTGGGCCACCTAGAAGTATGAAATTGTCCTTGTAAATTTTAGACTTGCTCCCTCCTTTACTAGGTCTAATCCGTTTGTTTATGCTTGATGCAGCCGGCCCTCAGGAGCCTGACTTGGTCGAAGTGGCCAAGTCTATGATCAAGGCCGTACCTCCAGCTGAAAGGGAGGCGGTCAGGGGTGTCGGCACCCTTGACCTAGAAGGGATTGCAGGGGTCCTTGCTGAGGTATACTTAGCATATTTTTGAGTATTTGAATTCCAGGACGCCTGTTTTCTTTTTTGTTTGGAAACTAACGCCTGTTCCCCTTTTTACTTAGGCCCTACTCCGAGTGAACGGCCTTCGCAAGCCGCTTGACCGGAAGAACA